AGTAACTGTGGCTTGGAGAATGTTTTGGGGGACTATGTTAGTTCTGCCCTGCTTCCTACTGAGTCAACAAGAAACAATCCAAAGGGCAAGGCCAAGCTTTTCAATGGGACACCCGTTTTGGCAGCAAAGCCTCTGGTCGCTCTCCGTTTTTGAGTTGCCTAAAGCACTGATGAAGGAAATCTAAATTCTGTGATGTCGTTCCTTACAGATTGAGCCAGAAGCTGGTACGGGACTATGGACTAGCTCGGTAAAGCGTGTGAGCCCGGGGTGCTGGGGGTGTTGTGTTTTTCCTGGCGACGCCATAACTGCCCGGTGGGGTGCCCACGAGCCGCAAAGCTGCTGTCCACGTGGACTGGTGCTGAAATCTCTCGTCCGGCTGCTGCCAGAGCCTCTCCAGCGAAACCCAGAGACATGGCAACAAACGGGACAAAAGTGGCAGACGGACAGATCTCCACAGAAGTTGATGCTTCAATCACCAATGACAAGCCTAAAACCTTGGTAGTAAAAGTGCAGAAGAAGAAGACGGATCTTCCAGACCGAGATACTTGGAAAGGAAAATTTGACTTTCTTATGTCCTGTGTAGGTTATGCCATTGGCTTAGGGAATGTGTGGCGATTTCCATACCTTTGTGGCAAGAATGGTGGAGGTATGTTTGCTGTTTCATTCTTACAACATCCGATATATTTGTATATTACAATTCACCACCAAAAATATCAGAAAACAGAACTTGGTTTTAATAGCTTTTTCATCTGTATAGGTGTGTTTTGGTTTTGGGTTTTGGTTGGGTTTTTTTTTTGCTTTACGCTTGTCCAGGAGGGTTGGAGCCATATTGGAGTGTGGTGCCCTGCTTAGAAGTTTGCTCTGGAGTTTATTCTAACTTCTAGATGGCAGCTGCTCTTAAAAGGCCATAAGGCATTAGAGCAGAACTAAAGCACATTGCCCTCCAACCCTTCAGAGCCCTCTCTTTTGGACTGAGTTTTTGAGAGGATTGCATGCGGCTTGTAATGTTGACTCTGAGCTTACCATAAAAGGTATGGTAAAGCTTTTCAGCTGGAAAGCAGACAGTTCTGGTTAAAGCCTTTATGCTATCTGCATGCTTCTGTGATAGATGAAGTCAACAAAATACACAGTCTTTTGGATTTTAGCTTTTTACTTAAACAGAAAATATTTAAATGATGAGGAGATATATTTTTCCCCTTATTTTCACCTCTTGAGAATCTGGTTCAGAAGTGTACGTGTGCTTTCCACTAACTTTTTTGAAATGTTACATTTAAAAGGAAAGAAAAGTGGATTTCTTTTCATATATAATAGGGATGGAAACAGTGGAAACTCAGTAGTGTTTTTCCCCACTGTAACAGGCTCTTTCTTATTTCTTTTTAGGTGCATTCCTGATTCCCTATTTCCTTACTTTAATTTTTGCTGGAGTGCCACTGTTTCTTTTGGAGTGTTCCCTTGGTCAATATACATCTATAGGAGGCCTTGGAGTTTGGAAGCTTGCTCCAATGTTCAAAGGTACAGTATGAATTTGGATTACTTTCCATTTGTTTCCAAGTTGCACAAAATGACAGGGCAAGGATGTTTCTTTATGTCTTCATATTTCTACTTGAACCATAATTTTCTGCAGAAAACCCTAATTTTCTGAGGTGTAACTGACAATTTTGAAACATGCTAGGATATTATTCATTCCCCATTAAAAATAGCAAGAGTTAGGCATTAGAATCTCAGCAAACTAATTTTTGAACTTAAAAAACTTCTATTTTTTGTTAGGAACATATAAAGACTGTTCAAAATAGCATATTAAATCTCGAAATAGTTGTCTGAGCAGGTGTGGAACTCTGTTCACAGCAATTTGGTAAACATTGTTTCTGTTTGAGGTCACAGAAGTTTGTATCTCCTGTTGTTCTTTATTGAAATTCAAAAGCCAGACACTTCAAAGATGGCAATTTCATGCTGGATTGCTTAAGACAAGCTCACTCCATACTTAGATTTTTTTAATCTAGTTTGAGGTTTCTTATTCCTAGAACTTCAAGGTTTTAATCTAGATCCTGCATAGACCTACCAACCTCACAAACCATGCTTTTCACCCTCCAATCTCAAACCCTTTGACACTTAATAGCTCCTGAGCTGACTTCTGGACCAGTAAAGGAGCAAGTTACACATTGAGTTATAAATTACTTCACATAGTAGGACTGACAGTTCGCATAGGGTGAGCTAAAAGTTTGTTTAGAGTAGATTAGGAAATTTTGTATTGGGAAAAGCCAGAGAGGTGAAAATTTTTCTCACAGGTAAGTTTTTAGCTTTGCTCGAGGTACAGCTGTTGGTAGGGGGTACAATGCAAAATTGCTTTGCATTATACCAATTATGTTGAGCACTTGCTCCTGTTTAGTGTCATGTGGCAACCGTCACCAGCCGGAATATTTTAAAACACCCGTGAAGTCTCCATGTGGAGTAGAAGACAAGGCATTCTCATTGTGGAACCCCTGACATTTCTGTAGTCTGAGATGACATAATAGCATTACACTAAGCTTCAAGCACTTTGATCAGTGCACTAAGTGGCTAGCTGGTCTTATAACTCATACTCAATTTGCATGCATCTGCCAGAAGTTTCCGTGGAACTGCTGTTTCAGAGAATGAGCTGATTTAGCTCTTTTCCATCGAAGTAAAAAATGCCTGTAAAATCTCAGCAGCAGCAGATGTAACCGCTTACTGCAACACACAGAGAACTGGACGCTATGATCAAATTTATGGATGACTCAACTATCACCCAAATTAGTGACCTTTTTATAATAGTACTTCTAAAATTTTAACTTGGCTTCTAGAAAGTTTGGTAAATGGCATCTGCCCCGTATGTTGTATTTGTCCCTCTGAACTGCAGCTCTTCAACTGACACTTGTACAGACACTACTAAAAGTTACCTCCTTTTGTTTCTTTTTGTTTTCTTCACAGGTGTGGGGCTAGCTGCTGCAGTCCTTTCCTTTTGGCTAAATATTTACTACATTGTGATTATTTCGTGGGCCATATACTACCTGTATAACTCCTTTACCACTGTAAGTGTGTGTGTGGGATTCTTTGTTGAACGTAAAGCAAAGTGATATATAGATAGCTGATTAACCTGTCTTACTTTAAAGGTGTGAGTTGACACAAAATGCATAGAAATTAGTAGGCTAAGTCATTCCATAATAAGTTATTTTGGAGCCATAGGCTTCTCTTTCTTACTGATGTGCTTAAATTTCCTCATCTTAATTTTGAGAGCCCCAGCTCTTTCATCTGTACCCTTTAGTCTCACTTATTACCCTTTAATCACAAGCACGCCTGCTTGCTTCTCTGCTTACCTGCCAGGCAGCTGCAAGTTGTGCTCAGGCTGAGGACTCCTTGTCCTGGCAGCGCTAACGAGAGTACTGGTATCCCTTTGCCTTTGAGCCCACAGGCAGCCAGTCATTCCACTTGGAAAAATTCTAGTGTATAACTGATTTTTATTTTTTTTCTTCACTAGCAACCACACAAATGTTAGTTTTTTGGGAAATAGTATCATTATAATCAATGTGGTTTAATGGTGGAGAGGTTTATTAAAGAAATCCCCAGGGGATGGAAGGTCTGTGGTTTGATTAGCTCTGAGCTTCCATTCATTGTTGTTATTTTCAATTTGTTTTCTTTCTTTTTCACTTTATTTTTAGCTGCCTTTTTTTTCCCCTCGAGGATGACTCATCAGCCGAGTCGGTCTTGTCTGATTTGTGGGTTTTGGCCATCTGAGGAAGCATTCTTACATAAGTCTCAATAATTAATGCATTATTGTTCAATTGTTGTCTCTTCTACAAATTTTGTTCATGCTTCCTTGTTCTCAACTTTAAATAATTGTCCCTTGACCAAATTTGCATTAATTACTGTCTGGGAGTGACACGATCATTTCTTTTTTTGTTATCCTCTGATTTGTTACTGATCTCAAAGGTCAGTCATAGTCTGGAAGTGGTGCACTGGCCCATATTAGATGACTGTTGATTTCTAATTCCCTTGAAGCCTCTTATCCTTGTATTTAAAACTTGCAGTACCCTGTTACAACATTTTCTGTGAAAGCATGTTCCAAGATTGGCCATCAAAAGAACATCTAAGTTGTATCTAAATCAGATTCATTCTAATGGATATCATGTGTAAACGGGTTCTGCTTCTCAGAACTCCTAAAAGATAACTTAGTGTAATGGAGAGGTGTAGAAAATAGAAAGTTTACATTTTTTGAACTGTCCCCTGACCCGATGGGAAGATGGAAATCTCTGATCAATAACCATCACAGCTTTATTGCCTCTAGTGCAACAAGAGGTAACAGGACCTCCAGGAGGTACTTCCTGCTGCCCTTGTTTCTTGTAGCGCTCAATAGACTTTCACGTGCTGAGAGGCGTATCCGACTCCAAAGCATTTGGGCTTATATATTAAAAGAAAGGAAGAAATATTTTCACATTGATTCACAAAATTGATATGAAGTTAAATAACTTATGTGGCAGACGTGCACCCCAGGGAGATCAGTGCACTGCAGAACTCAAAGTGTATTAGTTCTCCACTCAACTGTCACCTCTAGTAAAGAGAGAGATACCTGAGGTAATGCTTACTTAAAAAGCGTTTGGTTAAATTTTCCTCTCTCTCTTTCTTAAATAGACTCTTCCTTGGAAACACTGTGAGAACCCATGGAACACTGACCGCTGCTTCTCCAATTATACCTTAGCAAACACCACCAACATGACAAGTGCCGTGGTCGAATTCTGGGAGTAAGCTGAAAATTTTTCTCCGTATCATTCCTATGGATATGCAAGGATCACCTTGTTATAATTCATATGCTATCTGCTGAATTAGTTGTCAAATGCAACATTCTGTTGGCTTGTTCTAGACGCAACATGCACCAAATGACTGATGGATTGGAAAAACCAGGGCAAATCCGATGGCCGCTAGCAATTACTCTAGCAATTGCCTGGATTCTGGTGTATTTTTGTATCTGGAAGGGGGTAGGCTGGACCGGAAAGGTAAGATTAAAAAGTACTGTAAATACATTTCAATTAAAAATGCTCATTTTACTCAAATATTCTGAAAATTCTTGAGGTAAGAGGCACTGGGAACAGTTTTGCTGTGAAGTATTGCATTTCTTTCTTGAATTGAAATTGTGTTTTTGAAAGAGCTGGCTCCTCTGTAGCTAGCTCTGGCCACAGTCTGGGATGGTATATTCACTTATAGGCTTGGCTTTGCCCGGTATAACATTGCCTAAAAATATGGCTGCTTGTTCCTGGGATAAATATTCTAGCTAGTTTGGATAGCAATAGAGCGAGGATGCAGTGTTTTGGCTTCAGTGAGAAGTATGCATTTATTGCACAGCTCTTGCTGGACTTAGATATGTAAGTGAGTGTTGAAGGTGTATCGTATATAAGAGTTACTCCTCCCTTTCCTTAGCCTAAATGAGAGCCGTAGGTGGTTCTTACCACAGGCACGATTGCCCACTGTGCTTCTTGAAATCTGGCTGGTTTCTGGGTGCAAAACAGAAATTACTAATGAATTAAAGGAAATTATATTATTGACAGACCTGTCTCCAGGAATGAAAGAGCTGACATTGGCACATACCTCTCCCTCTCCCCAAAACGGCAGGAAGAACTCTTAGGGAAATGAAAAGCCACAGCCCTATGGCCTGGAGGCAGCTGAAGGCTTGGGTCATAGGACCTCAGGCCTGGTGTAGAGGACTTTTTCACTCTGGAAGAACGAATTGCTGACTTTTGACAAGAGACTTGTAACTGTGACCCACTTTAAGCGCATCTTGAACATGGCCTAGTTATGCTCAGACCAAACTTCATTTCTGTCTGCAAAGACAGTGGCAAAAAAAAGGACTGACTGTTTCTCTGGAGTCTGACTTCGTAGTGTCTTTTCGTAAGACTTTTGAAAAGGCAAGAGAGTAGGATCCTGTAGGGCAATTATATCATGATGAGGAGAGAGTGTGACAAATACAAGAGCAGCTGTCTGAGAGCAGGAGAAATAAACTAACAGACGTTGTTCTACAAGCAGGGTAGAAGTACTACGACCGTGTGCTTTTGGGAGCTCCCCTTGCTGCATAAAAGAGAGGAAAGCGTGAGCCCTTCATCCAAAAATATCCTAGCCCACTATATTCCACTTTCAGGAACGTCAGCAACAGCCACCTGCCTTGGTGAGATGGTGTTGAGGGAATTCTGTAGTAGCTGCTCCCCTTTCCACACCAAGCTCTTCTATTGATCAATGCTTCAATTTTAAAAGTCAGCCTCAGCTGCTGCTACAGTATTTTTAGGGAGCAAATATTTTCTGAAGTGTTAACAAGCGCAGATCTTTCTTCCTTCCACACTTACAATGTCTTGTTTCTTCACATCAGGTGGTATATTTCTCTGCTACTTATCCCTATGTTATGCTGCTTATCTTGTTCTTCCGTGGTGTAACACTGCCTGGAGCAAAGGAAGGCATTTTATTCTATATAACTCCCAACTTCAGTAAGCTTTCAGACTCTGAGGTAAATATACAATCCTTGTAAACAGAAGTTTCACTGCTAACTGTTCACCTTTCAGACATATGACCTGCTCCTCAAGTGCAGAAACAGATTTTTAAAAAAATTATTTCCTGCAATCAGGTTTGGCTGGATGCTGCCACACAGATTTTCTTCTCCTATGGTTTGGGTCTTGGTTCACTGATTGCCCTTGGAAGTTACAACCCTTTCCACAATAATGTTTACAGGTAAGCAGATGACTGCACGTGTTACAGTAGCCTTTTCCTATCTCAGCTGGAGCTGGATTCTGTCTTTCTGTGTACTATAATATTGAAATAAAGTGTATGTAAAGGTGAATGTTGTATCGAAGTAGGAATGAGATGTGTAACTGCATTTACACTAATGGGAGAGACAGCATGGCTTGGCCAGCCTGAAATGGAACCCAGACGGTGAAATCCTAAATCGTGAAATCTTTCCACAGGAAAAAAGTGTAATATACTGATGAACAGTAGCATTGCTTTACCGACTGCTTAAGGCACCTTACCTTTATTTCAGGGACTCCATCATAGTGTGCTGCATAAACTCATGCACAAGCATGTTTGCTGGCTTTGTCATCTTCTCCATTGTTGGATTCATGGCTAATGTCACAAAGAGGCCTATTGCAGATGTTGCAGCATCAGGTATCCGATGTATTTTCCTCTAAGTTGTTCAGTGACATCAGTTATTTTTTGTTTGTACGTTGTATCGAACTGCTTCCCGTTAATTGTTCAAAATCCCTCCCCCAAACACTCCTCAGCTCCCTGTCATTCCGGTCACACTGCAGAAGGCAGAGCGTCAGTTCAAACCTCCCAAGGCAGCACCAGCAAAGTCATTTCTTGTCGAGCGGCCTGCCTGCCTGCCTGCCTTGTGCTCTCGAACATTTGGTGTGGAGAGCGGTCAGCCAGAGACTCCTCTTGGGCTGACGCAACGGATACTGATGAGTACGGCTTACAGGGAACGCATTTACAAGAGGTGGCAGCACAGTGACCTGCTTCAGTGCTTAGCTGTGACATCAGGCTACGAGCCTCTTGCTACTGAAATTCTTAAAAGCAAACTGGAATGCTGGTCACTATGTTTTAGAAGCCAATATTCTCAGATTCAGATAGGTTTTTTAATTCCTTTTACTGTTTCTTGAGGTTAAGCCCTTTGGGGCAGATCCATTTCTCACCTGTTCAGACCTACAGCTCTCGGCCGATTTCATGAGACCCTTTATTATGAAAGTCATTTTACTTAGGGCAGTAAGATGTTCGTGGAAGGATTCTGCTGTTCTTTGCAGTTCCTTCTCTTTCTTCCAGATGAAAAAGCTTAAAGTAGCAGAGCAGATGGTTGCCCTAACCCAGCTGGTGTACCAGATACTCATTTAGCAGTTCTGGCCACAGGGAGGGTTCTGATAACTGAAAGCTTGGTTGGAAGTCACTGGTGGACAAAATATGTCTTCCTATACTAGCAAACATACCCCATTGATGAAATATTCCCTTTGTTAGAAAAGTAGAGAATTTAAGCCCTAAAAATAATCTTCAATAAACTACACGTTCAAAGAAATTACCAAAAAAATATGATGGCATACACTGTTGTCAAAAAATGCTCTGGAAAGCCAGCGGTGTGTGAAATAAGCTTCTTGGATTTATGTATTTGATACAGATGTAACTATGTAAGGACAACACCTGTGAACAAAACAATATTTCTACATCATATTAACCTCCTAAATACATTTTAAGGTCCCTAAGATAATAGATTTTTGAAAGATGCACAGGACCTCCTGTGGCCTGTAATTACAAAGTATATTTGGAAATTTGACCGTTTAATTAAGGCTCCTATTTCTCCTAGCAAGCTCCGAAACCGATGCTTTTTTTAGCACCATGAGACACGTTGTTTTGCAATCTCTTATGCAGCTTCGTAAAACAAACAATATTATTAAAAGCTGTAATGCATTTTGGCGACACATGTAGCAGAGTAAAATTAAGAAGATATTTATCTTAAGTTTATTTTGCTTTTACTACTGCCATTTGGAAGGCATTCCGATCCTATCTGCTCTTGCTAGCAAATAACTTTCAAAATCTGGATTGCATTTACTTGGACTATTCGGGTGTCTAATGCCAGTCCTTGCTTCACTGGTCTGAAAGTTGTGTATGTCCAACCAATCATCACAGACAGACTTACTTCTAATGAAAACTGAAAAATTGCATACCCTACGTAAGTGAGGCACAGATTTTATTTCCCTACTTAGTTTGCTACAGGTTTCACTCCTAGCCTGACATCAGCTGGTTTCTAGCTATGCTATGACAACAAAAAGAGCTCCTTCTTTTCTTTTAATAAGAATTTAATATTCTCCCTCCAACACTATGCCCCCTATCAGCAGTTAGGTGGAGCACAAATGAAAAGGTTAGCCTGTTTACAACTCCATAGCTTATTAAAATGTGTATTTTAAGGTAATTAATGGAATGGAATAGGAAATGGGAATACTGTAACTGCTGGAAAGTGTTCTCTCCATTTCTGAGCTGTCTTTGTTTCTCTTCTGAACTGCTCAGTCCAAAGCAGAAGATTACAGCTATCGGTAACTGCTTGAGAGGGAGGGACTGCTGGCCAGTACCCGGTGATGTAATCCTGGCCAAGGATAACAGTCCTTGTCTTTGCTGCGCAGAGGTGTCTCACAGGAGCAGCTTCTGAACTGCATCTCGTAGTTTGTTTGCTTGGGCGATTGGTTTGGGTTTTTTTTTATTTTCTATTTTGTTTTGGTTGGTTCATTTTAAAGGCAAGATACGTGCGCTGACTTCTTGGCCAGTGAACGCTGGTTAAGCTGAAGTCCTTGGTCAGCCACTGCATCCATGGCCGAGTTATTCAAATAAACCTAAACCCTAGGTATCAACGGGAGCAAATAATCACAGCGTCCAATCAATCACATTGACGTTTTCTCTCCTGTTTCTCCTACCAGGCCCTGGACTGGCATTTCTAGCTTATCCCGAGGCAGTGACGCAGTTACCAATTTCTCCTTTGTGGGCAATACTGTTCTTCTCCATGTTGCTCATGCTCGGGATTGACAGTCAGGTAAAACTGGTGTAGAAATTAATAACATGGACAGATTTTCTGCGACTGTAGGGTACAAGGTTGGCCTCTCTCTCTGCATTCTGCACTGCCAGCAGTTACTGGTGCAGAATGGTTTCTGGCACAATCAGGTAAATAATAGGAGTACTAAGGAGAGGAAAGACTGAGAGGTTCCGGGAGCCTGGGATAGTCAAAAACTGATGCTAAGACACTTTTGCGTTTTCATGAACTGTTATTGCACGAAATGTGCAGAAAATTTATTCTGCAGACTAAAGGAAGTTTCTTTGAAATCTGAACTATACAATCACAATATTAAAAATACCTTTGTAGTGTTCATCAGCGTAGCAGACACTGGGCTATGCTTTACAAGACTTAGATGCCACAAATATTTCTGAAAGGTGACTTCAGAACTTCCCTCATGGAGCAAAAAGATGCAGCACACATTTCATTTGAAGCACGTGAATGTCAGGAGCAAATTCAGGAGGCAGTAGGCTCACTACTGAGGACATTCTGTGTCTTAGTCTGTTCTGAAATCACTTCCCAGTGGTAAGGATCAAGAGTTTTTTGGTTCAGGCCTTAGCTAGGAGTTATACATGGCATCTGACAACTGGAAATGAATGCGAAGGCACAACTTAGGGGTTTTGGAAATCCAAATAAGATATTCTCCAGAGTTACTGTCTAGATTAAATAATTAAATAATGAAAAAAGTCATGCAATCATTAAAAAAAGTGTTTATTGCAAAATGAACAAAAAAAGCACACAGGACAAGAAAAAGCACTTTACATGCTAGAAAGGACTATGTCCAACAAAAGGATTCATTAATCAGTAGTAATTTTAATACAAGTAACAACGATGTCGTAAGCAGTAAAGTAAGCACCCTGTCTTATTTTGCAAGCATACTTTGAGGACTTTGTCAGGCAAGTCCCTTCTGTCTGCTGAAATAAAAAAACCAGCACCTTAGAGTTATTACTACAGTCTTCATAGCACATAAAGAAATACAAGAATTAGTAGCTTAGTACTGTACTAGTCTTTCAGTAGAGAAAAATCCATCATTTTCTGTAAATCCAAGTTGACTTCAGCCTCTGAACCAAAATATGAAAAGACCAAGAGGGCATTTTATCCTGCAACATGAAAGGAAGCTGAAAATTTTATGTTTTCTATTTCTTTGTTTTTCAATAAGCTTCAGGCTTGACATTAAAACCTATTGCTCAGTCTGGGGGGAAACTACTGTGAAATTAATTGGGTCAAAAATATTCTTGAAAGAACTTGTCTCTAGGCAACTAACAGCTGAGGAAGGTAGTCTAATATTATTAATAAGAATATATATCTACAGGCTGTCATGCTCTCTTCATTTTCTGTCTATCAGTGAAACATTTCATAGGCTAGAATTTATAGGAACTGTAACTATTGGTTAAATTCCCATTGCACTGCTGGAAATAATGAAAACCAGAACGTATGCAGTTTTATTAATTTCAGCCATCATAATGATAACATTTATTTTGAATATATACATATAGAAAAAAATCTGAAGCATGGTCATGCCTTGCATTTGGAGCATGCTCTCTTCATTTTCTGTCTATCAGTGAAACATTTCATAGGCTAGAATTTATAGGAACTGTAACTATTGGTTAAATTCCCATTGCACTGCTGGAAATAATGAAAACCAGAACGTATGCAGTTTTATTAATTTCAGCCATCATAATGATAACATTTATTTTGAATATATACATATAGAAAAAATCTGAAGCATGGCCATGCCTTCCATTTGGAGGACCACATCCTCAGCAAAAATCTTTTCTGGGGATACAAAAAGTATTTCACTTGTTACATCTGCGAATCAATTTTGTGTCTTTAACCTTCACCCTGAAGCACTAATCTGATTAGACTTTTCGTGTCTATTGCCTTTCACGCATGTGAGTACATGACAGAAAGGAGACGTGTACGTTTTTGAAGGATCTAGGGGTCAACGCCTTCAACTGCAGGTGTATCGTTGTCTTCTAGTACAAGAACGAGCAGTCTATGTTCATAAAGTGCCATGCTATAGTTCATAGTTTAGAATTTTGAGTGTTTTTCTGGCTGGAAATCTTTTTGCACAGATCTTTTTAGACAGAAACTAGGATATTCAGAAGCAGTGCTTCCACTGAAGTCAAGTGAATTTTCATTTATCGTTTAATGGATGCAGCCCTAGGCCAGTGATGAGTACTATTGAAAACTTCTCCCCTAAATGTAATCCTGCTGTGGTAGTGCATTGCATTGTGTTCTATTTCTAACTTTACTTGCAGTTCTGCACTGTGGAAGGATTCATAACAGCTTTGGTGGATGAATTTCCGAAGTTACTGCGCAATCGAAGAGAAATCTTCATTGCTGTTGTATGCATTGTTTCCTATCTGATAGGGCTGTCCAATATTACTCAGGTATGATCTGTAGAAAAATGTGATCTTATCTCTGACATTTCTCCCTTCTGCCACTCCAGCCAGGACTCACTGCAAACCGTTGAAGTGGCAGGGACCGATCACCAACGCTATCTAAAGGCTTCAGGCAGCAGACGTTAACTTCTAAGTGTAAAATGCCTGTAGTAGAATGCAGTTTGTCCCACTTCATGGTTCAGGTGACAGGAAAATACACATCTCTGCAGGCTGTCTTACAGTCCAAGCAGCGGTAGCGAGGGATGTTCTCCATTGCTTCCCGTGATCTACTAGATTGCAAGCTGTTTGAGGGAAATGATTGAATTATTGAACAAAAAGGATTAAAGTGAAGTTAAACCAGTTAATTGAATTCTAGCAGTAATGTAATTTTTGACTATTGACCGCCAGCATTATAAGACTTTAACCTGTTAACTTTAATTAAGTTACATTAATATGTCCCTAACCTATTCACCACTGTTACTTTGTAGCTTGCATTTTAATCTATCTTGAAATTGGAGTCCTTACTATTTATTTTTAACACTTCCTTCTTATATGTTTTAGGGTGGAATCTATGTGTTTAAGCTTTTTGACTACTACTCTGCCAGTGGCATGAGTCTCTTGTTCCTTGTATTCTTTGAGTGCATCTCGATATCCTGGTGCTACGGTAAACAATATGTTTTTCTTTTTTCCCTAAAAGTTTTGCACGTCATAAGTGTATTTCATCTACTGATTTGTTCATTTGTGTGTGCACATGCTGAGGATGGAACTGAAACTGGCTTTGTTTTATATGCATATAATTCCACTGAAGACCCAAACTTTGGCTTGTGGAAGGTGCTTCTGCCTCTTTAAAACACCCTGTGTATAAGCCTGGAAGTAACCAGCTGTTAAGTGTTTCGGGAATACTAAACATGTGACATCTCTCTCTTTTTCTCCATCCCCCTTCCTTGGAAAGCCTGGATCTTCAGAGCTGTTAGGTACTGCTCTTCTCAACACGATGACTTAGGTCTCTCGGACTTTGTAAAGTTTCATTTCCCAAAATGACTCTGTCACTCCAGGATCTTGCAGTGAGAGTCAGGTGCCTTGGTCAGTTGTGTCTTGCATGATTGCCCTAAAATATCCAGAAGGCTGGACTGACGAGCTCTAGGTGTAAAGGTTAATGAAGCTGTATCGTATTCTTGCCAGGGTATTTGTGCATTTGACCTCAGCTCTGTGTTAGCTAGTCCGAGGACCTCCTCCCCCAGTTACCATGGCACTTCAGCTCATATTACAGAACTGATTCAGAGCTAGATAACCGGGGTCTTTCTGCTGTCTTTTAATGGGCTTAGGAGGATGGAACAGCACTTTACAGGGGAGGGATACTACATATGAATCCAGCAAATGCGAATGGAAAAATACACCAGCTAAAAATATGAAGAACTCAAATACAAAGTTATAAATAATGTTAGACATCCCATTTAGAAGACGATGGAGTGGTAACAGCAGCAGCAGAAGGGCTACTCTTGATTTCATATGCAGTTCTGCACGTATGTGGTGTGCATATATCCACACAAAGTGAAGCTGGTGAATGCCAGTATGGGTTTTTAATTTATTTTTAAATATAATTTGTAAAATATAATTCTAAATCTCTCATTCTAAGAAAGATTAACTCTCTTTAGAGTTGAAATTAACCAAGGGTGATTTATTGCACCTGACCTTTAGATGTGCAGACTTCCTGAGCCTTTGCTGGTTGGTAATTAATTAATTATGATGTGGAAGAATGAGAACAAATGATTCTTGATGCTTCTGAGTTTGCACATTTCTTTCCCATTCAGATAGGTGAAAAGTTATGTTGGGGTCTGTACAGAGCTTCCAAATACACCTCATCATTTATGACAGTGTCTCTCAGAACCACTGAGCTTTCAACGGGATCAATTATTGGATATGTTTCTGTACTGATTCTTATTTCTATATTTAGGTGTTAATAGATTTTATGACAACATCCAAGAGATGGTGGGATACAGACCCTGCATCTGGTGGAAACTCTGCTGGTCATTTTTCACTCCTATCATTGTGGCAGTAAGGAACAAACTTTTATTATATTATTCAAAGGATGTAAATGAGGTGGCCTATGTACTACAGCATTGTCATTTCCACCCCCACAGGTTCATATTAACTATGACCTCACTCCTTTTTTAAGGATTTGAGCAATTCCATTGAAGGCAGTAGGCAAAACCCAGTGTCATTAGAGGAAGCCTGTGCCCTAAGAAAAGAAGCCTTGTGCAATTTCAAGATCTGTGTTAGTCCTCTGGAAATGGTAACTAGTCAAGAGTTTGAGTGGCAGAGATAGAAAACTGTAAGAAACAAAATTTTGACCATTTATTGTATTCTTACATAAAATTTAGCAATCTCTCTAAAGTCTGAATTTTCCATTTACACAAAACCACCTACATTGTGTGAACTGAATTCCTTCACAGGCACTATTCTAGTAACAGACGTGGATTATAAACCGATGTTCTTCTCTGGTGGGATTCTGCGGAATATATAACCGAGTTTATACTACATTGCTACCATTTTTTCTGGCAAACCTTGAAGGATTTTGTGCACTGGAAAACACAGTACAGTCTTTTCTTGCTTCTAAGCTTTATCCAGTTAAGCTCATACAGTACATTTTGAAATAATAAGCAAAGTATTGTAAATTCACTGCACATAATGTAGTCAACCCAGATGCAAAATAAAAGCCTAATCAAGTACGCACTATTATACATGACACAATACTTCCCACTCACTGATATTGATCTGATATTCCCATATAGGTAGCCCAAGGCCATAGAAAAGCAAACAAAGAGCACTAAAGAGAGGCACAGAAATGTGTTTATACTGAGGGTGCCTTGATTCATCTCTGCCCAGGTGAAGGCAGCTTTCATTTTTCTGAAAACAAGTGTTCAGGAAGGCATAAAAAATGCATTTTGTTTCTTTCAGTGGTATAGTAGGAAGATGACCAATATCATATGTAAAACTTAGCAGATTTCTCCTGTCTTGTAAAGCCTGCAACAGAATTTGTTGCCCAGTGCCAGTTCACAGGTGGTGATGGTGTGCTAGTGAAATCTGCCGCTCTGCGCTCTCCCTGGGAATCCGTGCTGCACAAGGCCTCACCCTGGGATCAGAATGAGCCTCCTTTGCTGGTTCAGTTTAGCACGTTTCCCTGATGCAGGCAGGGTTTAGACATTTGAAACAGACCAGAATAAGCGTCTTCCTTGGGAACGTAAAGGAAAAAATACCATGTTTGCAGGTCATCTGTTTGGAAACACCACAAAAGCAACCCACGAGTGCTGCTGGTCAATGGTGCAGTACGTGTGCGTATGCAGGTATTACTGCCCAGGACCCCCGGCTTTCCCAACAGCCCCCTTCCCTCTGACTTTGTGCCAGTTATCTGAGGATTCTACTAATACCGGTGGATTCCCTGTACCAGCACAGCTGGATAACCTGAGATGCAGGTTATATATGAGAAAACAGTGTTAACTTGAAACATTACGATTAATTTTGGTAAGAAGCTTCTTGGGAAACTATCTCCTCATCTCTTGTTATTGACAAATTCAAAGTGCTTTTTGAATTTCATGAGGTAAGTTCTGTTATACAGACAAACCTGTAGCCACTTACTGAACCGCAGGTTCCATTCTGCTGCCCTGATTTCCATTATGAATTTGTTCCGAGGATCAGAATGATCAGAATGATATCAAAGCCTCTGGGCCCAGCACTCGTAGGCGGTGATACTAGAGAGGTCCATGCAGAGCCAGGCGTTAAAGAACATTTCTTATCCAGAGCCTCCAGGAGGCTGTTGCTGACCAGTACGGTAGAGCTGTACTGATACAATTATTCCAGTAAGAAAGTTAGTGGAAACAAACAAACGACTTCACAATGGCCAAAGTGAAGTTCAGTTATTTACACGCTCCCACACTGGCGATTAAGCTGTCGGGGAATCAGTCAGTGCCGCGAGCTGACGCTTGCCTGTTGTCTGCAACCTCCACCTGGAAGACCGACCTGCAGGCCCCATCTAGAAGCCATCCCCAGGGACCACAGGAACCCTTTTCTCCTTGCCTGGATATAAGGGCAGGCTTGAGGTCCACGTCAGTCCAGAAAAACTCTTGAACACAGAATGCTCTGGAAATCTCATCCAAATCTTCTTTTCTGCTGTGTTTTGCAGGGAGTATTTATCTTCAGTGCTGTCCAAATGACTCCTCTCACGATGGGAAGTTATGTTTTCCCAAAATGGGGCCAAGGGGTTGGCTGGTTCATGGCTTTGTCTTCTATGGTGCTGATACCAGGCTATATGGCATATATGTTTCTAACCCTGAAAGGCTCCTTAAAACAGGTAAGTCTCTTTCCTGACTGTGTGATGTCATCCTGCCAGACCTGTGCACACTGGTAAAAGATTGCTGGGCAGTTATTTTCTACTAGGTATTTCCTGTGGCCTCACTTGCTTAGCCCAGTTATTTTGCATTGAGCTGAAAAAAACATAAAAACAAGTACCAAACAGCAAAAAGACAAGATAGTGTCTGTACCATCTGTTGTTAGACATAATTCACCGCATTAAATGTGGTCCTTATGTCTGGGCTTTGACAGTTCCAGACACTTTGCATCCCAGCTCCTTACACCTAGAAAACAAAGTAGCGGTTTACAAAATATGTAAATTTGTCCTTATTAACGCAAGACAGACTGTCGTGTATCAAGGCAGGTGATGCTCTAAGGAATCGGAATCCAACTTTTAGGACTAAACGCAGGTAACTCTTGGTTTCCGTGAGTCTGCTCACAGTGACCCCACGTCGCATCTCCCTGCAATGTGACCAAAGATCAGAGCTCCTGTTCTGCATCATACCTGTCCTGAATGACAATGGCTGCCTTGTTCTGCTGCAGCCGAGAGAAACTACATGTAAAATCTTGGGAGAACATTTTATGATTATGCTGCACTTCCCTTTAGTCATTATTTAAGGGGTTTCTATGAAGTTACTTCACAAAGAACATCAGAGGCGTTGTATGGCTAAAATCCATTTTAAGGTCGTGCTGGTCCTCAGAGAAATGCTGCTAAAGGCGTGTGAAATGTTAATAAGGGTATTGACCAGTACACTGTTTAGTACTTACGTACAATTGCCACACTTAATTTTTTTTAATCTGAGTGCATCCTCAGTTTTACCTCTCCGGCCAATAATCTCATTCTGTGCATGTCAGAAGAACACTTCTTCAGCACAAGTATTGAAACACACATCTCTGTCCTCCGTAATTGTGGGAACCAAAGATTGTCAAAATTAATTTGTCAGAATTTCTGGAATATTCTAAAACCAGCTGACAGAGCCATCTTTGCAAAGGGACAGATGATCTTAAGCAGAATTGACGAGTAATGCATCATGAATTGCTCAGATCTTGATCCAAATATTTGTCTTCAGCAAATTTTAAAAGACTCAGTGATGCTTCAAAGAAGTCTACAAAAAAGTGTCTGGGATTTTTTTTCCCCCTGCTTGTTCTTAGCTCCTACATTTTGAATATCTTTCCCTTGGTCTTATAGAAACCTTTACGTGCAAGTGGAGAATTGTTGCTCTAAAATATAGCTGCTTCTTGGACTGAGCTGTATAAGACCACGGTAAAAGATCCTCATCTCAGTCTTGCTGTGGATTGAGGTCTCATTTCGAAAGCATTGACAAATGATCATCAGATAACAGGAGACACCTACACCACTCACAGGCTTTGATGATCAAACCCGGGCTTGCTTTCTCCCTAGGAGCGTGAGCTAGGCAGATAAGCTTCCTGAATGGAGAATGCAAAAGGACTGGGAAAGACAGCATAGAAATAAACCCATCTTCAATAGAAGTCTACTTTACCTGCTGTATCCTTGGAGGTAGTAACTCCAGAAGGTCCAGCCAATACTTTCTAGTCCCTTCTGCTCCCTGGGGAGGGTCACCATCACATCTGAGATCCAGCTTTGAGTCCTTGCTTTTAAAAAAAAATAAAAGTAAGCTTAGAAACAGTTTTTTGACTGCCTCACATTTGTTCTTTAAACAGCGCATCCAAGTCATGATTCAGCCAAGTGAAGACATCACTCATCCTGAAAACGGGCCAGACCAGGCCCAACAGAGCAACTCGGCAAACAAAGAAGCCTACATCTAAACTTCTGTATTGTAAAAGTACCAATACTACTCCAGAAAAACAAAAAATATGGTTGAATATGACCACAAATTTATATCTGAGAATATAATTACCTACCTCTAGTGGCAAAAAAAAAAAAAAAAAGAAAAAAAAAAGAAAAAAAAGAAAAAAAGAAAAAAGGTCATCTCCACTATAAGGGAATCGCCATGGGTACGATCCAACCATTGCGCGAGCTCAGATGTTGACAGTGTTTTGTGTTCTCTGGCAATCCACAGACTGTTACTGTTTTTATCCTTTCACAATAATAGTTGCATATCACGGAATTTGTAAATTGATGTGCCAAGACCTTTTTAATCTACCTTTTAGCACGACTATTTGAAGTTTTGTGCTGCTGATTTTTAGTAGTTTATCACTATTTCTTACCGTTGAATCCCAAGACTGTTATTTCTGACTTTGCAGGAGTAAAATTAAGTTTGGAATTGTTTTGTACAAAAGAATGAAGTATTTTGTAAACAAGTGATTTCCAGTGAAAAAGTCTGCCCTTAAAATTTGCTCCGGTCGAGGTCATTTGAGGGGGGAGAGACTTCCTTCACCTCACAGCAGACACGGCCTTTATGAACATTCCTAGTGCAAATGAAGTTATATGGCTATCTGTGGCCATGCAGCACGGAATGGCTGTAAACGCTCGCTGTACTTAGCCTTTCAGGGTAACTTTCAAATGAGATCCTAAATTTATTCAACAATACATATGCTATTATTTCTTACGAAAAGAACGTATCTTTGTGAATCGATACTACATGAATCGCAGACGTTAGAGGCAAAAATACGACTTCTAACTTTTCTAGCAAAACAAGAAGTAATATCCAAAAGCTCTTGAAGATTCCCCGGCGTAAAAGAAATACAAAGTCTTTGCAATTCAAGCTCGGAGACTTGAGCTTTTATTACGCCATTATTATTCTACTGTTATTGCATTGCCACCAAAATAGAAACCAAAACAATGGCTTAAAGATTGAAGCTTATCCTTGTAATTCTAATTTAGGGTTTAATTCATGACTGTTCTTTTTAATCCGTTAAAGGTCTTTAACAGTTTCTAATAAGCAAATTATAAAACATGGATCGTTAGCACTTTGAAAACAGTTGTATTTTGATTTACATATTATTTGTGGTGATGAAGGCATGAGGGAAAGCTATTTCAATAATACAAAAATCTCCGCTCTGGGCTCAGGCTGCATTTGCCACAGAGCTCGAAAGCCCGGTCAGCTCGTGGAAGTTTTTCCCGGGTGGAAGACGCAGCGGTTAGCCCTGTATGGTATTTCTCGTTTGGCAGCTATATGACAGACACAGAGGATCATGGAAAAATGCAGTAGTTGATGTTTGATTGTAAATGACTGTGACAGAACTGTGCAATGAAACATGCTTTTCAGCAAATTTTTGTGCAACGTACAATGTTAGATAGCACAATTTATGTAGAACTACTACGTGAAAAACATGTTAACTGTAAATGTTGGGTTTTTCGTTGTTTTTGTCTGAAGGTGACAAACATGTTCTTGCAATAAGGTATTATTCTCAGAATGTCAAGCACATTATTGTAGAAATAATATATATATATAATACACATGTATTTCAAACTGCATCATAAAATCTCAGAGTACGTTTGGTAGATTCTAAACTGTTTCATACATAGATCAATTGTAAAATATTACGAGATCTAAGCTACATCCTAAACGGCTATAGCTGAAATGCAAAAGTCCTGTAAGTCTTTGGGATTTAGAGGAAAACCCTACATCCTACACAAACATTATACATGATACATACGCATTATAATTGTGAATTTCATTAGACTAAGGATAAAAATTCCAACTTTCTCTTTATTGTTTAATGTAATCAAGTCCCATGTTGTTCTAAGAAAAATGCAGTATTTAATGTTTGATTGTAAACAATTATGACAGATGTTTGACAGACCTGCTCTTTAGCAAAAAGCTGTACAAACGTATCATATAGCACAAAATAGTGTTGTAGAACTACTGTGTGTAAACTGTGAATAGCTGTATCTTTTTTGTAGTACTTGCCCTGAAAAAAAGATTATTGTATGATCATATATGCTTTTTGCAATAAGGAAAT